CAGAAGAATCTTCACCGGCTATGCATACTCATCCATAGCAGTCTGACTTCAGGAAAACTTTGGGGACCTGGGAAGACAACTTTATGGGGAGCATGCTGCATTGATTCCTGCTTTATGTAATGTTCTTAGTCCATTCAAACTGATACAACAAAATGCCATAAACTGGGTAACTAATGAATAGTTATTCCTCACAGTCCTTGAGGTTGGGAAGTCTAGTATCAAGATGCCAGAAGATTTGGTTTTGGGTAAAGGCTTGCTTCCTCATAGAAAGTCATCTGTTCATTGTAACCTTAGCTGGTAGAAGGGGCAAGGGATTTCATTGGGGTCTTTTTTATAAGGGCACTAATCCCTTAATGCCCTAATTACTAATGCCTTAATGACCTAATCATTTCCCAAATATCTCATCTCCTAATGCTATCACCTTGGGGGTTAGCATTTCAACATGAATTTTGGGGGGACATAAACATTCAGTCCATTGCAGTTTACATAGGTTCCTTCATCAACACAAAAACCTAATCCCCAAAATTGTATCTGTAGGGTTCTTTCCACCAAACACATCACCAACCAATTTTGAGATAGCCACACACCAGATATTTGAAAGATGAAACTAAGAATCCAGTAGAGTGGGAATGGCTCAAAAATAGGAGAGAATGGGCCTAACAAATGGAATGAAATCCCAGAGAAAGCAGAGAGGACTGGATTCAGAAGTCACAAGGAAGGACTGGCTTTCTAACATAATTGGAGAAGGATGGATGTGGGTAAAAACAAGTCTGTGGATATGGTAGTAGGAAGTTTGAGGAAAACATGAGATTATTTTCTTTGCAAATCATGACATAAGATCTAACAGCAAAGAAAGCAGCAGGTGGGTTAAAGGTTAGAAGAGAGTAAAAAAGTATAAACTGTTTTTCACGGTCAGTCAGCTGACAACACAAACGAAGTAGGACGGCTAGGGAGGCAGAGTCAGTGCAGCAGTGCTTGGTTTTGTGCATTTCAGGTCAGGGACTTACCAAACCTTTCCTACTTCCTTCAGCTGCATTAAATTCTTTATTTGAGTCCCTAAAGCATTTTGTTCATACCTCAAATCCTGCCTTCCACTAGAATCTTTCTTTATATTGTTTCATTTACCTACCTAAGTACAAAATCTGTGTAAACAATGATGGCTTATTCATTCTTGTATCCCTGAAAGCACACAGCACAGTTCTTTGTGTGAAGTACTAGACTTTTTTGCATTTAGTTATTGAATATATCATATAAAATGGCTCATTTAAAAATGTAGTTGTTTCAAGATCAACTTCATACATTATATAATCAAGAAAGATGAAAGACTCAGAAATTTTTTTAGAAAGAGAAAAAAGAAAGGTAGAAAAAGAAAGAAAAGAAGAAAGAAAAAGAGAGAGAAAAAAGAATGAGAGAAAGAAAGAGGAAGATAAAGAGGGAGAGAGAACGGGAATCTTTTTCTATTGCCCAGGCTAGAATGCAGTCTAAAAATGGGTATTAAAAACCTCTTTTATGCCAATAAATGTGCTTAACAATGGAGACAGGAAGGAACAAGGGAGGAAAATAACAAACAAGCAGCCAACCAATATTTCATTTAAACCTGTGAAATGCTATGCAATTGCTGAGGAGTGATTTACTTCCAATTTTATGGTCACTTTTAGAATAGGTATGATGTGATACTGAGATAAATTTATGTTTTGTGTATTTGGGGTGAGAGTTCTGTAAATGTTTATTAAGTTTACTTATTCCAGGTCTGGGTTCAAGTCCTGGATATCCTTGTTAATTTTCTGTCTTGTTGATCTGTTATATATTTAGAACTGTTAGCTCTTCTTGTTGCATTGATTCTTTTACCATTATGTAATGTCTTTCTTTGTTTCTTTTGGTCTTTGTTGCTTTAAAGTCCATTTTATCAGAGATGAGAATTGCAACTCTGCTTTTTTTTTTTTTTCTCTCCATTTGGTTGGTAAATCTTCCTCCAATGCTTTGAGTCTTTGTGTATTCTTGCATGTAAGGTGGGTCTGGATGCAGCATACCAATGGGTTTTGTCTTTTTATCCAATTTGCCTGTCTGTGTCTTTTGATTGGGGCATTTTAAATTTGGGATTGATATTGATATATATGAGTTTAATACTGTCATTTAATGCTAGCTGGCTGTTTTGCTCATTAGTTGATGTAAATTCTTCATTATGGTGATGCTCGTTACCTTTTGGTATGTTTTTGGAATGGCTGATACTAGTTGTTCCTTTCTATTGTTGCTTCTAGTTGTTGCTTCTTTCAGAAGCTCTTGTAAAGCAGGCCTGGTGGTGATGAAATCTCTGAGTACTTGCTTGTTCACAAAAAATTTTATTTTTCCTTCACTTATGAAGCTTAGTTTGGCTGGATATGAAATTCTGGGTTGAAAGTTCTTTTCTTTAAGAATGTTGAACATTGGCCCCCACTCTCTTCTGGCTTGTAGGGTTTCTGCTGAGATCTGCTGTGGGACTGATAGACTTCCCTTTGTGGGTAACCTGACCTTTTTCTCTGGCTGCCCTTAGCATTTTCTCCTTCATTTCAACCCTGGTGAATCTAACAATTATGTGTCTTGGGGTTGCTCTTCTTCAGGAATATCTTTGCAATGATCTCTGTATTACCTGGAGTTGAGTATTGTCCTGCCTTGCTAGGTTGGGAAAGTTTTCCTGGATAATATCCTGAAGAATATTTTCCAGCATGGATTCATTCTCTTAGTCACATTCAGGTACACCTATCAAACGTAGATTAGGTCTTTTCACATAGTCCCATATTTCTTGGAGACTTTGCTCATTCCTTTTTAGCCTTTTTTCTCTAAACTTGTCTTCTTGTTTTATTTCATTAAGTTGGTCTTCGACCTCTGATATCCTTTCTTCTGCTTGATCAATTAGACTGTTAAAACTCGTGCATACTTAGTGAAGTTCTCATATTGTGTTTTCAGCTCTATTAATTCACTTATATTCCTCTCTAAATTGTCTATTTTCATTAGCATTTCCTCAAACCTTTTCTCAAGGTTCTTAGTTTCTTTACATTGGGTTAGAACATGTTCTTTTAGCTCACAGAAGTTTCTTATTATCCACTTTCTGAAGCCTGATTCTGTCAATTCACCACACTCATTCTCCATCAGGCCTTGTTCCATTTCTGGAGCTGCAATCCCCTCTAGGAGGAGAGACATTCTGATTTCGGGTGTTTTCAACCTTTTTGCACTGGTTTCTTCCCATCTTTGTGGATTTACCCACCTGTCGTCTTTGTAATTGCTGACTTTCAGATTGGGTCTCTGAGTGGATGTTCAGCTTGTTGGTGATGAAGTTATTTCTGTTTCTTAGTTTTCCTTTGGTGGATGCCCCTTCCCCACAGAACTGGACCTTCCTGGGTTCAGCTGTGCTTTCTGTGAAACTCTCAATCTTCAGTGCTTCCAACTGCTGTTTTTTTGTGGGGGTGGGACCAGTCGAGCCAGATCACCTGGCTCCCTGTCTCAGAGCCTCTTCTTTTTTTTTTCCTAGTTGAACAGTCAACTCTCTCCCAGGTGTTCCAGTCGCCTGCTGAAAAGGTGCCAGAATCTGTGTAATTTCCCCTGCGGTGACCCACTGCGCTGGGTGAAACAGCAGTGTTGAGATTCACAGCACTTTTATGCCCGGGAATCTCCCCATCTGGCTCCCCACTTCAGTCCCCTTTTCAATCAGCTGAATTGGTGACTCTGCCTTCCCAGAGCTCCAAATGCCAACTAAAAGGGCATCCAGTCCCGTATACTCCGTACTGAGAACCGCCATGATGGGGCATCAGCAAAACAGCTGCACTGGCCAAAAGAGTCGTGCTGGCAACCTGTGGGGCTCCTCCGCTGGGAATCTCCTGGTCCGTGGGCAACAAAAATTCATCTAGAAGTGTGACGTCCACTCACTCTCTGCACTTTCACTGGGAGCTACAATCCTGAGCTGCTGCTAACTGGCCATCTTGGATCTCTCTCCAAGACTCAGAAATTAAAAGACAATTTTAAACCACAGTCAACCAAATTTATTTCTGCTAAAATAAATATAATCCTACCATGAAGAACAGAAATTTTCATCATCCTACTGCCTCAAGAAACTAAAGAATGGTGACCCAGGCTGATGCAATGGTTCATGCCTGTAATCCCAACTCTTTGGGAGGTCAGGAGTTCTAGACCAGCCTGGCAAACACAGCAAAGTCTTGTCTCTACTAAAAAATAAAAAGAAAAACAAAAAAATTAGTTGGGATGGTAGCAGGTGCCTATAATCCCAGCTACTCAGGAGGCTGAGGCATGGGAATCACTTGAACTTGGGAGGCAGAAGTTGTAGTGAGCCAAGATTATGCCACTGCACTCTAGCCTGGGTGACAGAGAGAGATTCCTTCTCAAAAAAAAAAAAAAAAAAAAAAAACAAACAAAGAATGGTGACCAAGAAACAAATCCCACAACATAGAATATGAAAATCAATACTGAATAAACATCACCACCATTTAAAAGTCATATTCTATTTGGTGATTTACTTTGGCAGAGAATCAGATAGGTTTCTATCCTTTGAGAAGACATACAGAACTTGCTTTCTAGACATCTACTACCATTATCAGAGTCCTACAGTTTAATATAATTATTATTGTAATTGTTTTTAGATTTTTTTATAGATTAAAAATTTAAAAAGAAAAAAGAAAAAAAAATCCACTAGAAGATCACTAAAACTGTAGGCCACATTCAGCTTCCTATAATTCTTTACCTACAAAATAAAATCCAATTTAGGAGGCTCCATTAACTCTTTTCATATCTTTCTAAATCTAAAACCTGTATTTCAAAATAAACATGGTATGTCACATGGATCCACTTTTCATAATTCTTTCAACTCAATGTTTTAGCCAAAACTTCAAACATTTGAAACTTTGAATAAAAATTATACCTTATGGACCAAGACAACATTAGAAAATGCCCTCAGACATTTTGTCAGGTACTTTCCTCATTACACCCAACCAAATGCAGAAAGGAAATATCAATTATTCAAAAGCTGACATTTATTGCAAATTTCTGAAATTCTTCATAAGCAAATATTTGATAAACAAAAATGGAAAATTTTACTAGGTTATACAGTTTCCACCTAGCTATTGAGTACATTAGTATCAGAGAAATTCATGTAACTATATTCAAATAGATCTTCAGTTTAGCTTCTTTTCAGACCACAATTATATAACTTGTTCAAAATCCCACTGGTTTCTTCTTAACGGTCTGGTAAGAGATGAAACTGATATATTTCTGAGGCCATTTGTCTAGGAGTTCTGTTTTTAAAAATCATGCTAAACTAAATGAAAGCCAAACATTAATGTTACATTCTAACCTGGCTGCAGCTATTTGTGTTGATCTGAAAGCTTACAAGTAAATACACTGTTAGGAACAAACACTGTGCAAGCTGTCAGCCATCAGTGTGAATCCTTCCATGGTTTCCTTTCATCACCCAGCTTGATTATGATTTCCTTTTCCGTGCTGTAAGTGGGTAAAGGTCAAGAAATGCCTAGGCAAATACAAAGAGAAGTGATTTTGGCATAGAATCTCATTTTTTATTACCAGCTCCTAATGTTTTTCTCACAATATGAGCACCTGTTAGCAGAAGACTGTATTTCTATTTATAGCTCCACATAAAGCTTCAAGGAAACAACCAATGTATTAGCTATATTCAGTAACTCCTCACCGGAAAAAGGCTTAAGTAAACACTAATTAAAACATTTAGGATCATGGCCAGGCACGGTGGCTGACACCTGCAATCCCAACACTTTGGGAGCCCGAGGCAGGCAGATCAAGAGATCAGTAGATAGAGATCATTCTGGCCAAGAAGGTGAAATCCCCATCTCTACTAAAATACAAAAAATTAGCCAGCATGGTGGTGTGCACCTGTAGTCCCAACTACTCAGGAGGTTGAGGCAGGAGAACCACTTGAACCTGGGAGCTGGAGGTTGCTGTGAGCCAAGATTGCGCCACAGCATTCCAGCCTGGTGACAGAGCAAGACTTTGTCTCGAAAAAAAAAAATAATTATATATATATATATATATATATGGGATCTCAGTTGTATCAATACTTCTCTACCTGAAAGCTCTTTTAAATGAAAAGGTTTTCTTTTTATTGTTTTATTTACCTAGGATTCTAAGAAACTGAGAAATCATAGCTTTCCCATAAATTATACATCATACATATTGTAAGAATATAGAAAATTAGATTAAATGATTACAAACTGAGTTAAATACCTAACTACATATATTAAATTTGGAAATTGAAAGCATTAATAGAATACGGAAACGTGCTAAAATAAAGCTGTGGCTTTTAAAATAAACAATAAAGCCTGTTATTTATTACCTAAAAGCCAGTACACAGATTTACTTATTTGGTACCCACTAAAATAGTTGCATTTGCAGAGGATATTTGGGGCAGTGAAACTGTATTATAATGATGAATACATATCATCACACACTTGTCAAAATCTACAGAATGTATAACACCAAGAGGGAACCCTAATGTAAACCATGAACTTTGGATAATGATGTTTCGGAGCAGGTTCATCGACTGTAACAAATGTACCATTGTGGTGCAGGACACTGACAGTGTGGGAGGCTGTTGAAGGCTTTGTAGGGGAAGAAAGGAAATTTCTATCTTCCTCTCAATTTTTCTGTTAACCTAAAACTGCTCTTTAAAAAAAGTATATTTTTAAAAACAAATTTTAAAAGTTATTTGTCTCAGATTCAAAATATTATCACACAAATTTTAAAAGTTATTTGTCTCAGATTCAAAATATTATCACACAAGGTGATTAATATTCAAAGTCCATGTGAGCATTGACCTATATGCCATTTTCTACAAATCTAAAACAAAAACATTTCAAAATGTTCAGTGGCAGAGAGTATTGGTACCATAAAATAAAGGCAGTAGAAGCAAAGGGGATATAAAATATGGACATTTTGTAGCTTGAGGAGACACCACCTAGGGAAAAGAGAATTAAGTGTTTATTAGGGAAAACATTAATGATATACATGGAATATAGGGGCTGGAATGAAGAAGACATGCTTAGGTTATAGCAAGGTATACTCCCGGCCTAAAATATCACCATCTATCTCTGCACCTGTGGGATAAAGAAAGAATGGGGGAAGAAAAAGGAAGACTGAGAACACAAAGCACTTACACTACTTATAGCAAAATTAGTACAAAATTAGTAAAATTGATTACATTTTCTTATCAAATTTTCTATCAGATACATTATACACTGTAATTACAGCCCCCGTAAATTGACAAATGTATTGATTTGTCTCTTCTCATTGGTAGCAAATTGAAATCATAATCAGTAAATAAAGTGAGATTTTCTAAAATCAGTTGTAATGTCATTAGTCTCTCCAAAAAGCTGTTCTTTCTGGCCACAGCTCTATGGTCAATAAAGGTGAAATTATTTCCAAATACTGAGTTCTAATAAGTACTGGAAAGAAAACTGTAATAGAAAATATTTGTTACACAGTATAATCAGGTACAGTTATGAAAAAACATGGGAAACTAAAAACAAAAAGTGATTATCATAAAAGACTGAATTTGCTATTTAAGCTCATTTAATTATGAGAATTAGGATGGACCATATAGATGATACTATTATTTTAACTCTAAATGGAACAAATAGTAAAATATTTGAGGGAAGAAAACAGCAAAGTATGTATATTCTGGGTTTACAATTAAACTTCAACTTTCTGGTGTTTTATTCCTGCCAAAATGTAGTTTTCTATTTCTGAAGTTTCTTGGAGATAAGTAGCTTACAAAGTGATAATGTGATATTATATGGGTAAAAAAATTATAAAACACAGGGTAAAAACTTTCTCCAAATATAGGAAAGAGTTGAAATGGTTCAATTCACTTTTACCAAGTGAAAATATATAGCAAGAGGTAAACAGTGGAGCCAAGGTATCTAATCAATAATGCCTAGCACTGAAATGATGGTAAAGTCTTCTAAATGTCAATAGTACTAATAGAGACTTGATATACCAGGTTTTCAATATCTAAGTAAAGCTTAAAATACAAAAGCAAAAACATAATATAGAAAGAACTATCTATGGTTGATATTCTCAGACTTTATAATTTATTTAGTCGTCCTAATAATACTGTCCTTTGATTTTACTGTCTGTATCTCTTGTTGCAGTTTTAAAACATTTCCTTTACTTTGGATTTCTGATAAAAAAAATTCATTACATCTTCTTTTCAAATTTTCTATCAGATACATTATATACTGTAATTATAGCCCCCATAAATTGACAAATGTATTGATTTGTCTCTTCTCATTGGTAGCAAATTGAAATCATAAGTCTTCTAAAAGAATGTCCAGTTCTTCCCAAATTAATGTGTGAAGTCTTCAAGATGGATTTAATTTGTGCCACTTGATAACAACCTTTTCTGGATTTATTACTGTCTCTTTCCACTGGTTCACTGCTTCAATGTTATTACTGTCTTCACTTATCCAAACCTGTAAAGGAACAGTAAGTACAATCATTTAACTTGACACAATAATAATAATGGAGTTCAGACAGTTACTCTTATTGATGGAAGAAATTTGGAAGTTTGGTTTATATATTTTGAATTAAACATCTTTCTTTTTTCCAAAAGTCAGTTTGATTTCTCTATTTGACATTTAAATGCTAAAACATTTAACCTGTTTAGTCATTCTCAAGACTAGTTTATAAGGTTCAATTTAATTCAGAAATTCAAGGTAAAATATTACAAAATCATTTCCTCCAGAACAGTTATTAGTGTCCTTTCCTATTCAATAAATCTTGGAGCTCAACTTAAAACTGACCCCAACCACTCAAAAAAATTTTTCTAAAGATCAATTAAACTGAGGCTAATCGTGATTTAAATTAGATTGGGAAGGAATGTGCACTTTAAAGCACACTTTACATGAAATAAGCTGTGATCTCAATTAAAATCTAATAAATAGTCATTCTTGATCGATAGTAATTTCATAGTATCCATCACTTATGTAACTTTAATTCACTACATGAATTTAATTCACACTACATGTGAATGCATACATAGTATTATGCAAATGTGATATGCAATGTAAGACATCACAATAATTATATTATTATGAAGACAAGGAATAAAAAACTTGAATTCTCACCTTACCTCTAGCACTAACAAATTACTTTACCTTGGAGTTAACTTCTCTGAGATTCAGTTTCTAAGAGATTGGAGCAGGTAATTGGTTTAAACCTTTTTCCTTTTTTTTCTTGGTCCAAAGAACCTTCCTTTCAAATGAAATCTTACAAATAACCCCAGTATATAAAACAGGCAACATTAGAGCACTTTCACCGATACAGGGGTGGAGACCTTGAGTTCACCTTTGGCTACCCCATTATGGTTCCTTCTAAGGCTACCAGATAAGCCATAGGGAGCAGATGACCAGCAAGAACCTTTCCAGAATTATTCTTCTAACTGGAATCTCAACCAAGAGAAAGGAATCACCACAAAAGTTATCATGAAAATCATCTCATGTAGATTTCCTATTTCATCCATACCATCCTATTCCATCCATACCATTAAGGTGAGGCTTGATGATATAGGAAAACTTTAACTGAATTGACTTCATAGGCTTAATGGCTTTCAAAAGTATGCTGGTTATATGTATTCTTGAATTCAAGCTCTTTTCCAAATAATAGATAATAAACAAAACAACATTTTTATTATCATTTTAGGTAAAAATATATATTAAGAAGTAAATCAAGGGGCTGATATCAATCTTTGAAAATTCATATATAATTTGAGGATTTCAGGTAGACTGTTAATAATATCTTGTCAAGTTGAAGCTTTTAAACCAATAATATCGATTTTGGAATTTAAATGTGGTTCAAACAACTGTAATCAAAGTAAAAGATAATGGACAGCTACCGCTAGTTTATTAAGAGTAAGGAAACAAGTTCCTAGAGGACTGGCAAGTTAGTAAGTGTTATGTTGTTTTCACAAATTGTACCAAGATTTTAAAAATAATTCAGACAGTAGTATTAACTATCTAAATAATATCACAACCACTGTTAAAATTGACATGTTCTAGCAATTCAAAACTAACATAACTCAGGTAAGAGCATATAAAAAGTCCCCCTGTTAAACATTAAATCAAAGATTAAACAGAACAATTTGATACTCAAAGCCTTAAGAGATTTGATTTAAATACTTAATGTTCCCTCCTTCCACAAGTCAGTAGTACTGAAAGACTGATAAATTCTCATAGTTTTTAAAGTCAAAAAGAATAAGACATATTTAAAGATAAACCTGATTGCTCAGAAATACCAACTATTTTTATTAAAGCAAAAAGCCTGACAAGATTTGATTTTTGTAGCAACACTGAATTTTGATTTATGATGCTGAAGAACTGTACTCTATTCGACTTCAATATTGTCCTTTATTCTCTTTGTTAACCGACTGTTTAAATGCATAGAAAAATACAAAGAAGGATACAAACTCCCTACTAACCTGGCCCACAAAGTGTTTTCTTCTTACAGAGCTTCGACTGTAAAGCTTAATGAGAAAAACAATTTCTTTCTCACTCTGTATAAGTGGAAAAATCATAGTCTCTCCCCACTTGACTCTTCCATTGGAGGCCTTCAGTAAGCGTGTCTTTTTCTTATAAATCAACTCTCCTGAGCTAAACATTCCCACCTTCACAAAAAAACCTAAAACATAAGAAATACTGGTTCATAAAATGTTATTCAAAATACCATATAAAGGTGTGTATATATACATCCAAGTTTGAATTTATAACATTTATTGTAAAAACATAAATAAGTCACTTTTAAATGTTTGATGAACTACTGCCATAACAGAAAAGAGCTCTAGTTAACTTTATAACTTTGGCATACTTTACGACTGTAACTTTAAATGAACTTAATCTTCTCATGGCTGAATGCCATGAAAGACTGGAAACGGAGGCATAAACAACAATCAGAGTAAAAGAGTGCACACTGAAAGGATCACACTAAAGAGAGGCACCAACTCTTTGGACAGCTGGAGGTACTTATTTCACAGTTTTATATAGGTAAAACGCTTTGCCTGAGACTCAAGAAGTATACGCCCACTAGATAAAATCTATACTTCAAATAAATTTGAGAGGCAGAACTTCCAGTAATGGTAGAATAGCTTGTATGAACGAACCTGCCCAGAAATAACAATTACAAACTTTGAAAAAAATTTAAAAACACTAAAAGCAGAAAGAAATTGGAGGAGGTCAACTTGTAAAAGATGGGAACTTCACTGGGTAAAACTCAGGTTGATATAGCTTCTCATCTAAGCATACTTCCCTATCTGACTGATGCACAATGCCTACAGCTCAAGAAGTACAGTCTAACTAATTGGAGGTGAGAGAGCTGGGGCTGCCAGGAAAGCAAGAAAGTGAACAGAGAAGTCCCAGAAAGGAGGGAGCCACAAAGTGAGGGCTGATACCTGACCATCAGACAGACAGAATGAAGAGCTGAGGTCACCCTGATGAGCTGTTTCATTTAAAGGAAGCATGCCATAAACTGCATTTGTTGTCCTTGTTTCCTAGAATTAATTGTGTATAGTCCTGATGACTCATCCCAAGTTAGATTTTATTTGCTTACATTTATTTTAGGATTTTCCATCTATCTACGTAGGTGACATTAATCTATAATTATTTTTTGTGTGCGCTATCCATTCTGTTTTGGTATCAAGAATATGCTGACCTCACAAAATTACTTTTTCCACCTTCTTTTTATGCTTCAGAACAGCTTACACACAATAGAAATTTTATGTTCCTTGAAAGTTTGGTAGAATCTTCCAGTACAATTACCTTGGCATAGTGCTTTTATTAGAGGCAGTTCTTTACCTTTTCATGGTTATTCTTTTATTCAGATTTTCTTCCTTAAGATTCTACTTTCAACCACCAAATTTCTTAGGAAGTCATTTATTACATAGATATCCAAATAAATTGGTATAACTACATATGGTATTGCCTTATATATGATAGAATCTCTTCTGAATTTGAAATTATATCTTCTTCATTGTTCAGAATCTCATTCATGTTTTCTCTATTTTTTCACTTGAACCTGCTATAGATTTGTCTATTTTATGATACTTTCAAAGAAATAGCTTTTTATTAATTATGCCTGCGTTTGTCTCCATTATTGTCATCTTCGACTTTAGCTTTAACACCTTACTTCTAATTTCTTTGAGTTTGTTGTTTTTCTAGCTTCCTGAATTGAATGCTCAGTCTCATTTATTTTTAGTCTTTCTAGTTACAGTGAACATGCATTGCTTTTGCCTGTCCCCAGATAGTTCTCTTCCTTTACTAAGGAAAAGGGGCACTCCTACCCACTCAAATCTCCAGGACTAGACAACCAAAGTATCACAACCCCTTGTTGTACACAAAACACAGGGAGGGAAAAGTGTTTCTAGGTTTGTTTTTGATATTTTTGGCTTATATATATGTGTATTTTTTTACAATTATGTTTCCAGTTAGCAGGGCATTCCACAAAGGGCAGAGCCCTAGAAAGAGGATAAATTATTTCAGGTGGAAAAATATAACTGAGAATCCTCTACACATTCAATCTGTATGAACTGATGAGATAAACAAAAGACAGTATCGAAGGCAGAGAGGTCATAACCAGATAACACTCAGGAGACCACTGTGTTAAGCAGGCACAATGGCTAAAATTTGAAATCTTTTAATTTTAAATTAAAAGTAACTAAGTTAAATAATAAAAGTTACTAAGATTTTAATTGCCATTGTAAGAAATGTAAATACTTTCTATTATCAATACTTTCTGAAGATTCTCCTTTGAACAATTGATATACTTACTCAAAGTCAGAGGTGTTGATGAGCTTGGAAGGCACTGTGCCTCAAGAATTTGTAACTGAATTCTGCTGTTTACTGCTTGAAAACAAGTCCCCAATTCAAGTTCTGCATGGCAAACCTGCATATCAAAAAAGTGGCATTTGGTAGCTGAGAATAATGTTTTTAGGATGATTCAAAAATTCAAAGACAAAGGGCTAAGGTTAGAAATTTTGAAAGTATTCCTTTCTAATGATATTCAAAACTATAAGTTACAAGAGAAGGTTAAGAAGATAAATACCGAGTTCTTTAGAGTACTCATTTGCATGGATTCTGAAAATACAGGTTATGTCTATGTACTGAAACTTCAAAATCAGTGATGCCCAAAGCCAATTCAAATTAAAAACAAATTAAATTCATAAGCAGTGTCACTGGAGAAAATGCTGGTGAAATTTACACAGAAGGAACACACTTTCAAAAGAACTAAATGTAGTCAAATTATTTTTAAAGAACACATGAAATATGATTAAAAAGTTATCTATGAAAATCATCATTTTTTTTTCTAATTATAGAGATCAGAGTAGGTGCCACCAAAATCAGAAGACAGAGGGTTACAGCAATAAATAGCTCTGTGGATTAAGGGTTGAATTACTACACTGAATGGAAGCAAGCTAAAGAAAGTTGGCAAGAAAGAAGCTAGTCAAAGGGATGAGGCAGTAAATAATAAGGAAAAGGTCAAAGAAAATCTGAGGCAAACAGTAAAATGAAGGAGACTTAGAGAAGCGGAAAAATTAAAATGTGTTCTTCAGTACTGCTGACCTACAGCCGAAGAAAGGTGGTCATTTGTCAGTAAAATACAGCACAAGCCAGACTACTTAGGTGGATTCCAAGGTCCTTGGACTGAACAATAAAAGGGAGAAACACAAGGTAGCCCAAACACAAAAACACTATTGTTTCCATGCTGAAAAGAGTAACAATAGCAATAAAGTAGGAATACAATGTTTACAGATAGTACTAGAACTCTGCATAGACAGACACAAAAGTCTTTGCTAGTACTGATTCCAGTAAAGTTATAGGACAACTGAATGACACTTGATGAAGACATTTACATTTTATATTGCTCAGTATTCCCCAATAGCTGGCTCATGGCTCAGCCTTTCCATATATATGACACTGACTGAAGCTTGATGTTTTCTTAAAATATGATTCTGTATTGTAAATTAGTTATGCCATAAGAAATGAAAAGATAGAAAATGAAAAGTGAATTGCTTAACAAGTATATACAACCGTTAGAATATAATTTCCCCTTGAAAGTTCTAAATTGATGATAAAACTTGTTATTGGGCAAATGCTGATTTCCAATAAACAAGTGAATTTATTGCTTTTGATTGTAATCAAAATGAGACGGAACTAACAACTTTTCACATGTACTAATTTGGTAGCCATAAAAAAAAACTTTGCAGATTAAAAAAAAATTGCTGTCCTTGGCATTTAAAAAATACATTTTAAAAGACAGAATCATACTCTTTATAAAACACAAGGAAAACCATGGTTAAAATTTTTTGTTATTTTTTAATCATGGTTTTATACCCACAATGTAATAACACTTATGAAAACATGTAAAGGTGGCAAAACTTCTCTTACTGTTACGCAATTGTAGAGTTCACTCTCATAAAATAGAGCACCATTTGGCAATAGGCTTACCATTTCCCAATTGCCAAGGTTATTTCACAAATTCAATTCATGTTCCAGGACAACGATTCAGATCAAGAAAAACTACTTAAAGATTTAAACTATTTAAATCTCATAATAACCAAAAAATTAAAATTCCAATCAATTAGCAGGTATGTACTAACTGAATTTAATAAGCACAAAACTGCTCCTGAATAATGTATCCTTTTACTCAGAAAAGAAAACATTATTAGCCTTCCTGGAAGCCTTGAAATGAAATGTTGAGCACCATCAGAACCTCATGATCTGGTGATGTTTGATAATACCTTCTTGGGGGGACAATACATGGTAGAGTTAGAGAGCTGGCTTTGGAGTCAGACTGCCTCCATTCAAATCCTGACTCTCCAACTACTGGCTGTGAGACCTCAGGCAAGTGCTCCCCCAATCTCCACAACAGGGATAAAGAGCAACAGGGTCATATTTTTGCTGTGACCATTACATCACTTAGCATTGAGGCAGCCATAAGATAAATCTCTATAAATACCAGCTATTTCTTCAGGAAAACGTATTTCTTCCACATTATTCAACATAGAAATTTGAGATCTGAAGTAACTATTTACATTACTATTTGTCAAGGTCAAGAACTCTTTATTGAGTAAAATATTAGGCCTACCCAAAAGTTATACTGTTCATGGTGAAACAGTGGTCCGTGTGGATGGGTAAAGTCCGGCTCTTTGAACAACGCAATTAGAATATTTATTTTTTCCTTCAACACATTAAAACAAAGCATACTATTCTTGCTTTAAGCAATAATATAAAACACTCACGCTTGCTAACATAAACTCACTGGTCTAGTAGAGCCCAAACACTTCTTTCAGGGCACCACTCTATAACCCTAGCACCTGTCATTCAGAAAATATGCAAATATGTATAAGATCTCTGATACATGAAATATGATTTAGTAGAAATTTAGCCATAATTATTCATTCATATTCTCCAGTGCAGATAATAATGCCTCAATTTCCCCAGAAAATACTTTCCCTGAGTTCTCTTCTTACATACTCTGTCTTTAAAAAAAAATTTTTTTTTAAGACAGAGTCTTACTCTGTTGCCAGGCACCAGGCTGGAATGCAGTGGTGCAATCTCGGCTCACTGCAACCTCTGCCTCCCGGGTTCAAGCAATTCTCCTGCCTCAGCCTCTCGAGTAGCTGGGACTACAGGCGTGCACTACCACGCACAGCTAATTTTTGTATTTTTTAGTAGAGACGGGGTTTCACCATGTTGGCTAGGATGGTCTCGATCTCTTGCCCCGTCTCCACCCCCCAAAGTGCTGGGATTACAGGTGTGACCCACCGCGCCCAGCATCTTTAAAATTTTAATATATGAATTATCTATTTGAATAGTGAATTTGTGCCTTCTGTAAACTATGGCTGCAGATTACTATCTACTAAGCTAGAGTCAAAAATGCCAGTGACAAACTCCTGTGATAGTTACAGAACAGCACACTGGGGGTTGAGCTAAAGAACAATAGGCAAGGCTAGGCACAGGGCTCACACCTGTAATCCCAGTGCTGTGGGAGGTTGAGGCAGGAGGATTGTTTGAACTCAGGAGTCTGAGACCAGCATGGGCAATCTAGCAAGACCCATCATCTCTCCTAAAAATTAGCTGGGCATGATGGTGTGCCTATAGTCCTAGCTACTCAGGAGACTGAGGTGGGAGGACTGCTTGAGCTGGGAGACAGAGGAGATAGTGAGCTGTGATTGCATACTGCACTCCATGCTGGGTGACACAGCTTTCTTTCTTCCTCAAAGAAAAAAAAGGAAAGAAAGGACAAGGAAAGGAAAGAGAAGAGGGGAGGGGAAGGGAGTGGAGAGGAGAGGGAAAGAGAAAAGAAAAGGAAAAGGAAAAAGGAGGAAGATGAAGAGAAGAGAAAGAAAAGAAAGTTACAAATGCTTCTACCCCATGTCCCCCAAAATTCTAATTTTTGATAGTTTATGTATAGGCATTTTTTATGGGCAGTTTTTTTAAAGCTCCCAGATGATTCTCATGTGTACTCAGAGTTAAGAAGCACTTCCAGTCACCTTAAATAATTTTGGAAACAGGTGAAATATAAATCCCATATAAATTTAAAATCACATATAGGTTTGACCTTATAAAAACTTATGACTGACCTTTATAAATATCAGCCTAACATTCAATTTATAGAATTGAATTAGAAATTCCTAAACAATTTAAAAACAGTGTTCAGCTGGCTGAGAGAAGCAAAGAGCAGGTCCCATCAGCACTGTTAGGTAATAAAGCTTGTTACCAAAAAAAAAAAGCAGCTGTAAAAACTTCTAATCAATTTATGAGCAGCTGTATAGCTTACTCCTGGTTAAAACAACTTTTGTAATGTATTTCAGGGCAATCTCTGATTGAGTTTGGAACTTATGATTCTTTCTTGTTTTTCCTGTTATCAGCTACTTAAGAAAAACTAAAATAAATAAAGTTATTCATACTTCAGAGTTATTTTCCCTTAAGTATAAAACCTTAATAAGAAATGTGCTAGAATGAGGCTTATTTTCCAATGGAGAAACAAAACAGTTCTGTTAACCTTTTATCAATAATTTCTAAAATATTATTTGAAAATAATAGTATTATTGCTTATTTGAGAGCTTTCCAGATCCTCTAATGTTCTATTCAAGTTATCGTCCAACAAACAAAAACCCATCCACTAAGTAATTCTAAAAGTATGAAATACTCTTAACGTAACATACTATTATCACTTACCGAAATTTTTGAAGGTGGCGTTATATCCAAAGAGTAATCCATTTCCTGTGTGCTAAGGGTTCTGAGTGACAGTGAGCATTCTCCAATGGTTTTCTTCCTGGGAGTCTGGGTTTGAATCTTAAATACAAGCCTTGCAGTTTGTAGACTTTGAAGTTTAATAGCAAATACAAACGTTTCCATAAATTCAATAGCCTTTAAAAAGAAACAACAAGAAAATATAAAATATATAAATAAAAGGCTGATATGCCAATACAAAACAATATTTTATCTTATATTTAGGAAAGGCATATTTAATTCTTTTTACAACAAAAAAAAATCTTTTTAATGTGAATGAAAATAAGAATGGCAATGACTCATTTTTATAGAGTTTATCCTGGATACAACCTTTCTTAATTTCACAAATCATCCTTTAACTTCTTTAGAAACTCAGGTCAACATCAACCCACGCTCACCAGAATATAGCTTTTTCCCTCTGTGAATATTAGATTATTTTCCATCTTTGGTTCTGGCATCTTTCCTGTCATCATCACAATTCTTCAACAGTTCAGGAGAGTGATTCAAGAATCTCATATGCAAGCACTCTCTTGTTCACAATATCTAACTTGTTCACATAAAGAGACTTGAATTATTTCTTTAAAGGAGTTATTTTTTTGTCTAATGAATCTTCCCATCTATCTTAGGCTTCAATCTCTCTTTTGGTGACATTTATTCCACCCTTTCCAATCTGAAAATCAAACTCCTTGATATAGAAGATGAAGGAAAATATGAGTTTAAAATTATACCTTCTCTCCTAAGCACCCATCTCAGTCCGCAAGTCTGTGTTTTCCAGCCTCAGAATATTTTTAAATGCTCTTGCTACTTTTAATATTTTTAAATCCTTGGCTTACCATGGGCTAACATGTTCTTGACACTAGACTGTTCTTTGCCATACACTTCCTTCTTTCCATCTTTAATGCATCCATTTAGAAAGGAGCTTTTTTTCCTTTTGAAAAGGCAAGATATCTGAGCAACTAGCATAAACATTTTGAATACAGGTAATAAAGCAAATACCTTGCTTTAATGTGCTTCACAGATTTACATTTTTTACGAATTGAAGGTTCATGGCAACACTGTGTTGGGTAAATCAGTGTCATTTTTCCAACAGCATGTTTTCACTTCATGTGTATGTCACATTTCGGTACTTCTCACAATAGTTTAAACTCTTTCATTATTATTGTATCTGTTATGGTGACCTGTGATCAGTGATCTTTGATACTACTATTGTAATTGTCCTGGAGCGCCATGAATCATACCTCTATAAGATGGGCAACTTATAAACGTGTGTGTTCTGACTGTTCCAGCAACCAACTGCTCCATTTCTCTCCCTCTCCTCAGGCCTCACTGTTTTCTGAGACACAACAATATTGAAATCAGGCCAATAAACCTAAAACACCCCTAAGTGTTCAAACGAAAGGAAGAAATGTACCTCAAACACCTAAGCTTAGTGAGGAAGATGTTGAAAGCTGAGATAGACCAGAAGATAGGCCTTTTGCACCACTTAAGTTGTGAATGCAAAGGAAAAACTATTGAAGGAAATTAAACGTGCTGCTCCAGTGAACATACAAATAAAAAGTGAAACAGCCTTATTTCTGAGGTGGAGAAAGTTTTATTTGTCTGGATAGAAAATCAAATCAGCCACAACATTCCAGAGCAAGGTCCTAACTCTCTTCAATTCTACGAAGACTGAGAGAAGTGAGGAAGCTGAAGAAGAAAAACTGAAAGCTAGTAGAGGTTGGTTCATGAGGTTCAAGGAAAGAAACAGCCTCCAAAACATAAAAGTGCAAGCTGGAGCAGCAAGTGCTAATGCAGAAGCTGCAGCAAGTTATCCAGATCTAGCTAAGAAGGTGGCTACACTCAAGAACAGATTTTCAATGTAAACTAAAGAGCCTTCTGTTGGAAGAAGATGCCATCTGGGACTTTCACAGTTACAGAGGCGTCAAGGCCTGGCTTCAATGCTTCAAAGAACAGGCTGACTCTCTTGTCAGGGGCTAATGCAATCAGTCACTTTGAGTTGAAGCCAACACTCACTTATCATTTTGAAAATCCTAGGGCCCTTAAGTGTTATGCTAAGTTAACTCTGCCTGTGCTCTATAAATGGCACAACAAAGCCTGGATAATAGCAGATCTGTTTACAGAATAGTTCACTAAATATTTTTAGTCTACCATTGAGATCTACTGCTAAAAAAAAAGATTCCTTTCAAAACATTATTGCTCATTGATAATGCACTTAGTTACCCAAGAGCCCTGACAGAGATGTATAAGGAGATGAATGTTATTTTCATATCTACAAATACATCCATTCTGCATCCCATGGATCAAGGAGTAATTTCAACTTTCAAGTGTTAGTACTTAAAAAATAAATTTTGTAAGGCTATGGCTGCCATAGATAGTGATTCCTCTGATGAACCTAGGCAAAAGCAATTGAAAACCTTCTAGAAAGGATTCACCATTTTAGATGCAATTAAGAAAATTCATGATGCATGAAAGAAGGTCAAAAAATTACATTCCCAGGAATCTGGAAGTTTATTCTAACAATCATGGCTGACTTTGAGGGATTCAAGATTTCTGCAGAGGAAGTAGTTGCAGATGTGGTAGAAACAGCAAGAGAACTAGAAATGGATCCTGAAGAAGCAGTTGAATTGCTGCCATCTCAAGATAATATGAACAGATAAGGGGTTGCTTCTTATACATGAGAAAAGAAAGTAGTTTCTGGAGACAGAATCTACTTCTGGTGAAGATGCTATGAATATTGTTGAAATGAAAACAAAGGATTCCGAATATTCCATAAACTTAATTGACAAAAGCAAGAGTAGCATTTGAGAGGATGGATTTTAATTTTGAAAGAAGTTCTGTGGATAAAATTCTATCAAACAGCGTCACATACTACAGGAAACCTTTTTGCGAAAGGAAGAATCAATAGATGTGGCGAACTTCGAGTTGTCTTATTTTAAGAAATTGCCACAGCCACCTCAATCTTCACCAACCACCACCCTGATCATTCAGCAACCATCAACATCAAGGCAAAACCTTCTACCAGCAAAAAGATTACAACTTGCTGAAGACTCATGATCATTAGCATTTTTTTTTAGCAATAAAGCATTTTAAATTAAGGTACGTAGCTTACTTTTTTAGACATAATGCTATCACACTCTTAATGGACTACAGTATAAAGGTAACTTCTGTATGCACTGGGAAACCAAAAAACTCATGTGACCTGCTTTACTGCAATGTTCATTTTAGTGTGGTGGTCTGGAACTGAACCTACAGTATCTCCAAGGTATTCCTATACCGTGCCCAAATTGTTGCTCTTGTTGTAATAGCTTATGTCTGTCTTTACAGCCAGAATTGTCTGTCTGAGAGTCTCACAACTACCGAGCTATCTTTTTCTTGTAGAGTCTCAAGTCATAGAATAACACCAGTTATATATTACACATAAAATGTTTAATGAGCTTGTAAATTAAGCAAGTGTGATGCTTCATTTCACACTTTCCATATTTTGCCAAATAGATGTCTCCCAAACAACTTTATGCATAATAATAAAATTGTAAAATGAAAGATACCACGTTTCAATATGACAACATTTTTTCCTAAGTTAAATTAGTTTTATTTGAAAATCAAAAAGTAAAACTGTGTAATTCAGAAAGTATTTATCTATGAGTGTCAAGGTTATGAGTTAAGGTTTATTCTATCTAGACTTTGAATGATACATACTTTCATAAAGTGAGATCCTAATACACACACACACACACACACACACAACACACATACATACATATATACACATACACACACCCCAATTTTGATCATGACCTTTTTCATGTATCAGACATGTTTTTCCAGGTCCTTAAAAACTCTTCCTAAATATTAGTTTTCATAGCTACCTAGTTTTCTATCACATAGTGTTATGGACTAAATTATACCCCCCCAAAAAGATATGTTGAAATCCTAAGCCACAGTATCTCAGACTGTGAACTCATTTGGAAACAGGGTCACTGCAGATGTGATCAGTGAAGTTAAAAAGAGGTAATAATGAAGTAGGGTGGATCCCTAAGAATTCAGCCATGTGAATACCCAGAACACAGGTATAATGCCATGTGAAGACAGAAGCAGAGACTGGAGTGATCTACAAGCCAGCGAATGTCATGGATTGCTGGCCATTCCAGTCACTAGAAGCGAGGCTTGGAACAGATTCTCCCTCAGAGAAGTAAACAACACTGCTGACATTTTAATTTTGGACTTTCTCCAAAGCTGAAAGAGAGAAAATTCTGTTGTTGTAAGTCACCCAGTTTGTGGTACAGTACTGTGTTACGGTAGCCCAAGGAAACTAATATACATAGGTACACCATTAGGTTTTTCAGCCATTCCTCTGTAAGACATGTTTAGACTTTTTTTCAATTTTTCTTTGAACAAAATTTCTAAGAATATTTTATACATTTTTGTTTGCATTTTAGATTATTTCTACTGAAATAATTTCCAGTTTCAAAGTAGAATTACTGTTTAAAAGTATAAATATTTTAAGGTTTTGACATGTAGTATCAAGATAATTTCAAAGAAGTTGTATGTTCTAGAGAACCTATAAAATTTTTTCTAATTCTACAAAGAAAGGAAAGAAAGAAAGAGAGGAAGAGGCCAGGCACAGTGGATCAGGCCTGTAATCCTAGCACTTTGGGGTAGAGGGATCACGAGGCACATGGATCACAAGGTCAGGATATCGAGACCATCCTGGCTAACACAGTGAAACCTCGTCTCTACTAAAAATACAAAATATTAGCCAGGCATGGTGGTGCGTGCCTGTAGTCCCAGTTACTTGGAAGGCTGAGGCAGGAGAATTGCTTGAAAACTGGAGGCGGAGGTTGCAGTGAGCCAAGATTGCACTACTGCATTCCAGCCCTGGGTGACAGAGCAAGACTCTGTCTCAAAAAAAAAGAAAGAAAGAGAGGAAGAAAGAAACAGAAAGCAATATGTAATTTCAATTTTTATTTCTGTGATTAATAGTGAGAATAAACCTTTTATATGTTTATTAGTCATGTGAATTATCTTATTTTAAAATGACATCTTTGAGAAGATATCTTTTCATTTGCATAGAAAAACAATAATCTTTTAACCTATAACAAATGACAAAAATAAACATGTATTTAAATTAATGTAAAACCTAGGATCTACAAAACCAAACTCAGGATCCTAAGTCCTTCTATTATACTAATTGGAAGTATTTAAAAGAAATTCATTGTGATTGTGATTATGAAATTACTTTTCAAAGCCAAAGTATGTTGGGGGAAAGAGAAGCCAAGATTCATTTCCTTTCACCCCAGAAAAATAAATCAGTTTTTTAGATATTGTTCATCTTCTATATACTTAAGTGAATAAAATACTCTTTTTAAATGCATCTTAATACTAGACAATGAAATATCAATATTTTTGAGACTCAAAGTTGTCTTGAAAAAGCAACAATTCATAGTTGTAGTTTCCCTAAGATAAAACATTTTTTCTGATTTGTTTACATGGATAAAAGTGACGAACATAAGAAAAACAGAAAAGAAATTCAAACAAAAAACAGCCACTTACGTTGGAACCTTCCTTGGCTGAAGATTTGAAATGCACTGGTTTGGACAATGTAAGTATTCCTTTTATAGAAATAGTAGGAGTGTCTCCATAACTAGAGGGCCAACTTAAATCTCTGCACTAAAAATATTAAAAATACAGTTTGAATTTTACAAAGGACTCCGACAACACAAATATTTGATGTATTTCTTGAGTTACTGACTTCAAATAAAAACTATAAAAATAAACTTGTCTACTGATACCTCATGTTGCATCCACATTAATTTTGACATATAATATTCTAGATGTCATGTCAATTTATAATATTCTAGATGTCATGTCAATTTCCCTTGAGCTTAAAAACACACATACTTCCATCATACTACAGATTTCTTAGATGCTTTATTAAATACTATTTTCTGTAAAAATATTATAGAATTCCAAATTTAAAAGATGGCATTGGCCCATTCCCCAGGAAAGGACAACAGTAAATGTTTACAATGTCTAAATATTCAATTTTATAATAAAAGCTGGTATTAACTATACTAATTTACCTGTAAAACTGTGATCCAGATCTGTTCTACTGAAGAATTATAAAACAATTTCACATTCAGTCTCCCAAAGTCTTTTTCATCTCCTGATAGAGTAATTGTATCTGAATTATAAAAGGACAAAGATGTTTCAAATGCCATGCAATCCTTCTAACCTAATTAAGCTTTGATACAAGCCAATATTAATAGCACAATTTTAAAATGGTACAATTATTTCTTAAAGTTCACAATCTAATAAAACAAAAATCACACTTCAATGTTTTCACTGAAGCACTAGAGGTAAGATATATACTGTAAAAAGCTCTCAAGGTTTAAAAACTTAACTCAACTGCAGTGAGGGATTTAAATTAAAACTAGGAAAAATCTTTCCAAATAACATTTATATGGCCTTAATACTGTGTTCTTCTGGAGGCTCCTTCACTAGTACACTTTAAAACAAACAAGATATTCAACTGCTTCACTTCTTAAAAAGCCACACTGGTACCTGAACACTGAGAAATGGACCATGTGATCTGAGTATCCATATGCTGATACCACTACTGACACAGTTTTATTTAGACTTAGTTTATTATATAAACATAGTAGATATCATCATCTAGACTTTTTCACCTTACATACACTTTCAAGTTACTATTGAGTAGAAATAATTATCTTAACAGTATAAAAGAAGAATACTTTATTCCTTACCCAGGCTTCTGTTACTCCCCTGAGAATTTTTCCTTGAGGAAGAACTACTGGGTACACTGGACAATGAATCATGTCTCTATAAGTAAAATTATCCTTTAGTCAGAAATTGCATATGAAACCTTAAGGATTCTGATACTTATGCCTCAATATCTATCCTAGTAACAAACTGCATGCTAACTATTTTGACAGGTCAGAATTTCCCACTTACAGGTAGTAAAGATGAAAAAAAGCTTTTGGTATGTGTTAGGGATATCTTAAATATCTTATAAGATAATATACTAGAAAGCCTTTGCTGTTTTTGGTTTGGTTTTGTAATAAGGAGAATGCTATTACTGCTTAAGTTGCATACCTGAGAATATTAATGAAAATGAGAATTTATTTGGAAATACCCTGCTATCAAAAAAAACTTGTAGAGCAGCAATTATCAAAGCACAGTCCATCTGACCTGAAGCATCTTTATCATTTGGAATTTGGTAGAAATACAAACTCAGGCCCTACTGCAGAGCTAGTGAATTAAAAACTCTGGGGATGAAGCCTGTCATCCTGTGTTTTAACAAGCTCTCCAAACAAGTCTGATGCATGTTAAACAACTGTTGCTATTAAAAAAAAAAAAAACTATAAAAGTTAACTCAGCTGAGGATTAAAGATTATCTAGAATATATTTACATTTTGTAAAACATATGTATATATATTCACATGGAAACAAGTCCATGAGTCCATATAACAGTATTTTCACATTGCACTTACTCTGAGTTATAGGAAATACAGGGATTTGTTTTATTTTGCTAACTTCTATTTTCTAATTTTAAATAATCAGTTTACTTATATTAAAAAAGAAACATTTTTAAAACATCAAAATAATTCTCAATTCCTTTTCAAAACCAGGAGGACACCGTGTTAATAATAGTGAATAAGGGCTGGGCGCGGTGGCTCATGCCTGTAATCCCAGCACTTTGGGAGGCTGAGGCGGGTGGATCACGAGGTCAAGAGATTGAGACCAACCTGGTCAACATGGTGAAACCCCGTCTCTACTAAAAATACAAAAAATTAGCTGGGCATGGTGGCGCGTGCCTGTAATCCCAGCTACTCGAGAGGCTGAGGCAGGAGAATTGCCTGAACCCAGAAGGTGGAGGTTGTGGTGAGCCGAGATCACGCCATTGCACTCCAGCCTGGGTAACAAGAGCAAAACTCCGTCTCAAAACAAAATAAATAAATAATAATAATAATACTGAGTAAAATCCTACATCTCAAAATAAATATAATTTTTAACAACTAGCTAGCTCTATTCAATAAGGAAAGTTAAACTAATAAGCACTTTTAATTATACCATTTTAAATAAAAATTGTTTTAAAATTCCCTGAGAGCATACCAACTGAGACATAAAATTTATTTTTAAACATTTATTGAAAAAAGAAAAACTACTGCCTTTCAGCAATCAAATAACAGTTTCCTAAAATAATGTACATGGGAAATATCAAGTATTTATTCTTCAGATATCAGAAAAGATACAGATATCAGAATATATTCCTAATATAATTCGTACATTTCTGAATTTTTAATTTGAAAACAAATTATCACAGATAATTAAGTTGATACGATTCATTTACCTGGATGAATCTCTGAGATAAACTTGTAAGATCAAACATAGATTTGCTTAGCCCAGGGGAACCGGGAAGTTTGTTGGTCCTTAAATCACAAACTAGAAAGGGATTTGAGAAAAGTATATATTTTAAAGAAACATATATTTAAGTATATATATAATAAGAAATATATATTTAAGTATATATATAAGAAATATATTTAAGTATATATATAATAAGAAATATATATTTAAGTGTATATATTTAATTATCATGAACTAAATCTCTGCAGCAATACATCATGAATATTATCTGTAAATCTACAGAAGAGATAAAGCCTTCTAATAAAAATTTTGTAACTTAAAAAAATGTTTTTCAATTATTTTATTTTTGCTTGAAAGAAATCAACATAAATCAAACAACGCATTTTCACATCTACATCAAATATCAAACAGGGAAAATTTACTCTTTCCTTTACATTCCCCATTCCTTGATCCAATAAATATAATCTAAGAGTAAATACTCTGTACTAAGTGTAATGCAACTATTTATTATTAATAAGCATGTATTACTTTAAAAAAATCAATACTGAATCCCATGTGCTGCTATATTTCTAGTCTGTATTTTTAGTTTCCCTCCTACACAGCAAGATCTGTGAAGAAAGGAGTTTTGTATGCCAACTGTATATTCTAGCACAGGAGAGAAGGAAGGCAGGCCCTTAAATAGGTATTTCTTCTTTATTTTCAGTACCTCACCCTAAATTCAGTGGGTGATTTACACACACACACACGTAAAACCCTGAAAAACTGAGAATTTTGTGAATCACAGACAAACATGGTAGACTATAATTCAGTCTCAAATATGAAAATTTAAAAGTTCTATATCATTTAAGCAGTTTGTTTATATTTCTAATCATACCATGAGTTCTAAATTCATCATTTTCATTGAATACAGAAAAAATGGAAAAAAATTATTGTATTTAGTACAATGTATCTATGTTGTGGAATTTATGAATAGACAGATGACAAGTGAAACGTATGCAAAATAATCTGGGCTGGTGCGGCCTGTAATCCCAGCAATTTGGGAGGCCAAGGTGGGAGGATTGCTTCAGCCCAGGAGTTCAAGCCCAACCTGGGCAACACGGTGAAACCCCATATCTACAAAAAGTATTTAAAAATTAGTTAGCTGTGGTGGCACATGCCTGTAGTCACAGCTTCTGGTGACGGGGAAGCTGAGGTGTGAGAGTCATGGGAGCCTGGGAGGTTGATGCTGCAGTGAGCTGAGATCACACCACTGCACTCCGACCTTGGCAACAAAGTGAGACTCTGTCTCAAAACAACAACAACAAAAAGAAAAAATACTCTGAAAACAAAACTTCTTTCTATTTTATGTTTTTTATTCCCTTGTACCTGGTATGCAGCTTACTTCTTTCTTTCTCTATTATTATATGTATTCATCATGAACAGCATAATGTTTTAAAGTATATATACACCACAGAATGATTAAATCTAGCTAATTTACAAATGTATTATCTCACAGTTATCACTTTTGAATAATAAAGTATTTTGAGAACACCTAATATCCACTCTTCTAGCACTTTTCAAGAATATGTCATAATTAACTATAGTCCCCATGTTGTACAAAAAAATCTCAGGAGGAAAAAGAAAATGGCATGGTAGGAGCAACTCAGGATTGCAGCTCTCAGTGAAGATGCAGGGGGTGAGTGCAATCTGCATTTCCAGACAGATCTTTGTTGCCCACAGAACGGGGAAATTCCCAGGTGTAGGAGAGACACGGGACGCCAGCGCAGCTGTTTCAGCAGGCGCCACAGCGCAGTGGCACTCCGCACAAAATGCACTGGTCTGGGTGCCCTGTTAAACTGGCAATCTGAGATTTGGGAGGACAGATTAGCATATCCATCTGATTAAACGAGACCTGGACAGTGAGCCAGACCAGGAGATTCCCAGAAAGCGATGTTTGAGCCGGTGCAGTGGGTTGCTGCATGGGAAATCACACAGATACCGGTGCCCTATCAGCAGGCGACTGAAACACCTGGGAGAGAGTCAACCATTCAACTTAAAAAAAAAAAAAAAAAGGGGGGCTCTGAGGCAGGGAGCCAGGTGATCAGGCTCAGTGGGTCCCACCCCCACAGGGACAAACAAAACAGCAATTTGAAACGCTCAGGGTTGAGAGTTTCACTGCCGGCACAGCTGAACCCAGGATGGTGCAGCTCGGTAGGGGAGGGGGGTCCGCCATTACCGAGGCATTCCGCCCCTACTGAGGTACACTCCCATTGCTGACTACCGCTGCTGAGGCAACCCACCATAACAGAGAGACTCGGCCAACAGGGTGGAGCCCATGGCAACAGGGCGGACCCCATGGCAGCAGGGCGGAGCCTCGGCAGGCAAATAGTGACTAGACTGCCTCCTAGCTGGGCAGGACAGTGCAATAGATACTCATAAAGAAAGCCCTAACTTGCCGAGACAGAGCATCTGAGGAGAAAATGGGGTTTTATGAGTTCTGCTGCAGCAGACTTAAACGTACCTGCCTAACAGCCCTGAATGATCAACGGAGCTCACAGCTCAGCACTTGAGCTCCTATAAAATATAAACTGCCTCCTCAAGCAGCTCCCTGACCCCTGTATATCCAAAGAGTCACCTCAAAAAGGACTGATCAGACTCACATTTGGCGGGCATCATTCTGGGACAAAGATAGCAGAAGAAGAAACTGGTAGCATCCCTCACTGTTCCACAGCTGCTACAGGTGTACCCCAGACAAACAGGGCCTGGAGTGGACCTCAGCAGTCATACAACAGAGGGGCTAGACTGTTAGAAGGAAAACAAAAAACAGAAATACTTCATCATCAACAATCTGGGCGTCCACTCAGAGACCCAATCAAAAAGTCAGCAACTACTCAGACGACAGGTGGATAAACCCACAAAGATGGGAAGAAACCAGCGCAACAAGGAGGAAAACACCCGAAACCAAAACACCTTGCCTCCTACAAAAAAAACAAAACTCCTCACCAGCAAGGGAACAAGGCTGGACGGAGAATGAGTGTGATGAAATGAAGGAATCAGACTTCAGAAGGTGGGTAATGAGAAACTTCCATGAGCTAAGAGAACATGTTCTAAATCAATGCAAAGAAACTAAGAACCTTGAAAAAAGATTCAAGGAAATGATAACAAGAATGGACAACTTAGAGAGAAATATGAATGAATTAAAGGAGCTGAAAAACGCAACACAAGAACTTCACGAAGCATGCACAAGTTTCAACAGCCGAATTGACCAAGCAGAAGAAAGAATATCAGAAGTCGAAGATCAACTCAATGAAATAAAATGAGAAACCAAGATTAGAGAAAAAAGCACAAAAAGGAATGAACAAAGTCTTCAAGAAATGTGGGACTATGTGAAGAGACCTAACCTATGTTTGATAGGTGTACCAGAATGTGACAAAGAGAATGAATCCAAGCTGGAAAATACTCTTCAGGATATTATCAAGGAAAATTTCCCCAACCTAGCAATGCAGGCCAATATTCAAGCCCAGGAAATACAGAGAACACCACAAAGATATTCCACAAGAAGAGCAACCCCAAGGCACATAATCGCCAGATTCACCAGGGTTGAAATGAAGGAGAAAATACTAAGGGCAGCCAGAGAGAAAGGTTGGGTCACCCACAAAGAGAAGCCCATCAGATTCACAGCAGATCTCTCGGCAGAAACTCTAAAAGCCAGAAGAGAGTGGGGGCCAATATTTAACATCCTTAAAGAAAAGAACTTTCAACCCAGAATTTCATATGCAGCCAAACTAAGCTTCATAAGTGAAGGAAAAATAAAATCCTTTGCAAACAAGCAAGCACTCAGAGATTTTGTCACCAGCAGGCCTGCTTTACAAGAGCTCCTGAAAGAGGCACTACACATAGAAAGGAACAACCAGTACCAGCCATTCCAAAAACATACCAAATGCTAAAGAGCATCAACAAAATGAAGAATCTGCATCAACTAACAAGCAAAACAGCCAGCTAGCATCAAAATGGCAGTATCAAATTCACACATAACAATATTAACCCTAAATGTAAATGGGCTAAATGCACCAATCAAAAGACACAGACTGGAAAATTGGATAAAAAACCAAAACCCATCAGTGTGCTGTATCCAGGAAACCCATCTCACATGCAAGGAAACACAAAGGCTCAAAATAAAGGGATGGAGGAAGATTTACCAAGCAAATGGAGAGCAAAAAAAAGCATGAGTTGCAATTCTCATCTCTGATAAAATAGACTTTAAAGCAACAAAGATCAAAAGAGACAAAGAAGGTCATTACATAATGTTAAAGGATTGATACAACAAGAAGAGCTAACGATCCTAAATATATATGGACCCAATACAGGAGCACCCCAATATATAAGGCAAGTTCTTAATGACTTACAAAGAGACTTAGACTCCCACACAATAATAGTGGGAGGCTTTAACACTCCACTGTGTCAATATTAGACAGATAACCAGACAGAAAATTAACAAGGATATCAAGGGCTTGAACTCAGACCTTGAACAAGCAAACCTAACAGACATTTACAGAACCCTCTACCCCAAATCCACAGAATATACATTCTTCTCAGCACCACATCACACCTACTCTAAAATCGACCACATAATTGGGAGTAAAGCACTCCTCAGCAAATGCAAAAAAACTGACATGATAACACAGTCTCTCAGACCATAGTACAATCAAGTTAGAATTCAGAAACTAACTCAGAATCGCACAGCTTCATGGAAACTGAACAACTGGCTCTTGAATGTTGACTGGATAAAAAATGAAATGAAGGCAAAAATAAAGAAGTTCTTCGAAACCAACGAGAACGAAGACACAACATACCAGAATCTCTGGGACACATTTAAAGCAGTCTCCAGAGGAAAATATATAGCAATAAGTGCCAATATGAGAAGAGTGGAGAGATCCAAAATTGATACCCTATCATCAAAATTGAAAGAGCTAGAGGAGCAAGATCAAAAAAACTCAAAACCTAGCAGAAGACAAGAAATAACTAACATCAGAGCAGAACTGAAGGAGATAGAGACACGAAAAACCCCTCAAAAAATCAATAAATCCAAGAGTTTATTTTTTGAAAAGATCAACAAAATACACAGACCACTAGCCAGATTGATAAAAAAGAAAAGAGAGAACAACCAAATAAATGCAATAAAAAAACGATAAAGGGGAAATCACCACAGATTCCACAGAAATTCAAACCATCATCAGAGAATATTACAAACAACTCTATGCAAATAAACTAGTAAACCTGGAAGAAATGGATAAATTCCTGGACACCTATGTCCTCCCAAGCCTAAACCAGGAGGAAGCCAAAACTATGAATACACCAATAACAAGGTCTGAAGTTGAGGCAGCAATTAAGAGCCAACCACACAAAAAAAAGCCCAGGTCCAGATGGGTTCACAGCTGAATTCTACCAGACACACAAAGAGGAGCTGGTACCATTCCTTCTGAAACTATTCCAAATAATCCAAAAAGAGGGAATCCTTCCCAAATTATTTTATGAGACCAACTTCATCCTGATACCAAAACCCGGCAGAGACTCAACAAGAAAAGAAAACTTCAGGCCAATATCCATGATGAACATAGATGCAAAAATCTTCAATAAAATACTGGCAAGCCGATTGCAACAGCATATCAAAAAACTTATCCATCATGATCAAGTAGGATTCATCCCGGGGATGCAAGACTGGTTCAACATACTCAAGTCTATAAATGTAATTCACCACATAAACAGAACCAAAACCAAAAACCACATGATTATCTCAATTGACACAGAGAAGGCATTTGACAAAATTCCACAGCCCTTTATGCTAAAAACCCTCAATAAACTCGGTATTGACGGAATGTATCTCAAAGTAATAAAAGCTATTTATGACAAACCAACAGCCAATATCATACTGAATGGACAAAAACTGGAAGCATTCCCTTTGAAATCTGGCACTAGACAAGGATGCTCTCTCTCACCACTCCTATTCAATATAGTGCTGGAAGTTCTAGCCAGAGCAATCAGGCAAGAAAAAGAAATAAAGGGTATTCAAATAGAAAACATGGAAGGCAAATTGTCTCTATTTGCAGACGACATGATACTATACCTAGAAGACCCCATCGCCTCAGCCCAAAAACTCCTGAAACTGATAAACAACTTCAGCAAAGTCTCAGGATATAAAATCAATGTGCAAAAATCACAAGCATTCCTATACACCAATAACAGACTTAAAGAGAGCCAAATCAAGGACAAACTGCCATTCACAATTGCTACAAAAAAAATAAAATGCCTAGGAATACAACTTAAAAGGAACGTAAGGGACTTCTTCAAGGAAAACTACAAACCACTGCTCAATGAAATAAGAGAGGACACAAACAGATGGAGAAACATTCCATGTTCATGGTTAGGAAGAATCAATATCGTGAAAATGGCTATACTGCCCAAAGTAATTTACAGAATCAACGCTATCCCCATCAAGCTACCAATGACCTTCTTCACAGAACTGGAAAAATCCACCATGAACTTCATATGGAACCAAAAAAGAGCCCGCATAGCCAAGTCAATTCTAAGCAAAAAGAACACAGTGGGAGGCATCACACTGCCGGACTTCAAACTATACTACAAGGCTACAGTAATCAAAACAGCAAGGTACTGGTACCAAAACAGAGATATAGACCAATGGAACAGAACAGAGGCATCAGAGGCAACACAACATATCTACAACCATACAATCTTTGATAAACCTGACAAAAAAATGCAACGGGGAAAGGATTCCCTGTTTAATAAATGGTGTTGGGAAAACTGGCTAGCCATGTGCAGAAAGCAGAAACTGGACCCCTTCCTGACACCTTACACTAAAATTAACTCCCGATGGATTAAAGACTTAAACATAAGACCTGGCACCATAAAAACCCTAGAAGAAAATCTAGGCAAAACCATTCAGGACATAGGAGTAGGCAAGGACTTCATGACAAAAACACCAAAAGCATTGGCAACAAAAGCCAAAATAGACAAATGGGACCTAATCAAACTCCACAGCTTCTACACGGCAAATGAAACAGTCACTAGAGTGAATCGGCAACCAACAGAACGGGAAAAAATGTTTGCAGTTTACCCATCTGACAAAAGGCTGATATCCAGAATCTACAAAGAACTCAAACAGATTTACAGGAAAAAAACAAACAAGCCCATTCAAAAATGGGCAAAGGATATGAACAGACACTTTACAAAAGAAGACATACATGAGGCCAACAAACTTATGAAAAAATGCTCATCATCACTGGTCATTAGAGAGATGCAAATCAAAACCACATTGAGATACCATCTCATGCCAGTTAGAATGGCGATCATTAAACAATCTGGAGACAACAGATGTTGGAGAGGATGTGGAGAAATAGAAACGCTTTTACACTGTTGGTGGGAATGTAAAGTAGTTCAACCATTTTGGAAGACAGTGTGGCAATTCCTCAAGGCCTTAGAAATAGAAATTCCATTTGACCCAGCAATCCCATTACTGGATATATATCCAAAGGACTATAAATCGTTCTACTGTAAGGATACATGCACACGAATGTTCATCGCAGCACTGTTTACAATAGCAAAGACCTGGAACCAACCCAAATACCCATCGACGATAGCCTGAACTGGGAAAATGTGACACATATACACCATGGAATATTATGCAGCAATCAAAAATGATGAGTTTGTGTCGTTTGTAGGGACATGGATGAATCTGGAGAACATCATTCTCAGCAAACTGACACAGGAACAGAAAATGAAATACTGCATATTCTCACTCATAGGTGGGTGATGAATAATGAGAACACATGGACACAGGGAAGGGAGTACTACACACTGGGGTCTATTGGGGGGAATACGTGAGGGACAGCAGGGGGGCGAGCTGGGGAGGGATAGCCTGGGGAGAAATGCCAAATGTGGGTGAAGGGGAGGAAGGCAGCAAAACACACTGCCATGTGTGTACCTATGCAACTATCTTGCATGTTCTGCACATGTACCCCAAAACCTAAAATGCAATAAAAAATAAAATAAAATAAATAAACATAAAAAAAATCTCTTGAACCAAAACTTCTTTCAAAAAAGGAAAATTAAATGGAATTTAGAACTACCAACAGACATAACTCAGTAATCTTTCAATTTTTATGTTAGACGTTAACACTACAGAGATGTCATAATGTTTATCACATTTATGAAGCTTGCTTTTTTTCTTATTTTTAAATTGCTTTTAATAGTAAGAATCATTTATTCCCAGATCTTAGATTTGATTTCTAAATTTCTTAAAGAAAAACACAAAGAGGAAAAGCACAAAAAATTTTCATACCTGATCCATACAGTCTCGTCACTTCTGAACGGGGAGGAAAGCGTCGACTCAAATCGGGTGAAATGTGCCGATACATATAGAATGGGTTATACACATCATAGCTAGGTCCATGCTGGGATGAACTGGAAAGTTCTACCTTTCGATCTCTAAAAGATGCTCTGGCAGATCCTGAAAGCAAATGTTTCTAATATTTTAAAACATCCTTTTTTTGTAGTTAGTAGCCAACAACTGGTATACCCAGGGCAAAAGAAAAAATATTTTGTCTCAAGTAATACTAAATTACATGCCTTTGATACCTAAAAATATCAGCACATATTAATGGAGTTCTGTGTGAAGTATTATGCTAGAGGTCAACCATGAAGCCTGCACTTAGAACAGTTTGGTAAATTTCTGGCATTTTTCTTTGCCCCACAGACAATTCTGTATTTTGTGATCTGAGTTTCCTCTTATTTTTCTACTTATATATAGAACATCTTTTAGATTATAAGATTTGGGGGGGAGATATATCCTTTACAAAAAGACATAGAACATATATTAAAACTGACCACATGCTGAGATACACCAAGAAAGTCTCAAATTTGAAAGGATTGAAATCATACAAAGTACGTTTTCTTACTATAATGCAATTAAGCTGGAAATCAAATAGCAAAAATAAAGCTAAAAAAATTTATACAAAAACATTAATTTTTAAGAAGAAAAATAGGACTAAAATATTTGCTCTACTGGGTACTAGGAATATAATACTGGTAAGTGACAGAAAAAGTGATCAATGCCAAAGAAGAGAAGGCCCAGAAATAGATACCCATTTCATGAACACTTAATTTATAACTATGGTGGCACTACACAAGAAAGGATGATCTTTTCACTAAAAGGTGATAAGACAACTGGATATCAATAGGGAAAAAAAGCCTTCATTCAACCAAACACATTCACAAAAAAATTAGTTCCATGAAGGCTGCAAATCTGAATTAAATGTTAAAGGCAAACCAATAAAGTTTCTATATTCAGGTTAACTTATAAGAAAGTTTCCATGACCTTAGGAGAGGGGAGCACTTCTTAAATAGAACATACAGAGCTTTAATTGTAGAAATATATATATATACACACATATATTTATATATATTGTGAGGCCTCAGCCTCCCGAGTAGCTGGGATTACAGGCATAGGCCACTGTGCCCAGCCTAATCATAGACATATTTTAATAAACTGAACTACATTACAATTTAAAATTTCCATCTGTCAAAGACTATTTAAGGTAACCCACAGAGTAAAAGAAGGTATGTGCAAGAAGCATAACTGACAAAGGGCTCATAACCAGGCCCGACCCTGCTTAGCTTCCAAGATCAGATGAGATCAGGTGCATTCAGGGTGGTATGGCCATAAAGGGCTCATATCCAGAATACATCAGGAATGCCTACAAATCAATAAGAAAAAAACAGACAAGACTATATATAAACTGACTTAAGATGTTAACAGGCACTTCAGAAGTCAGACTATCAATCTCATTAATCATGAGGAAAAAATAAGTTGAAAATGCAAAGAAATACCACTATATACTCAACAGAATGGTTCAAACTAAAAAGACTGATAATACCAAGTGTTGGCAAGAAAGTAGAGGAATGTAAACAATCATACTCTGCTAGTGGAAATTTAAATTGATATAATCACTAATGGAAAAAAGTTTGGCAATTTCTACTAAAACTGAAGATATTTACATTCTATGACCCACATGCCATTCTGAACACATACACAACTGAAATGCTTGTACATGGGCACCAAGAGCTACGCATAAGAATGTTCATAAGTATTATTATCCATAATAGCCAAAAATTGGAAAAATCTCAAAATCTCATCAACAGTAAAATAAATAGTGGTATATACTTACTACATAAAAAGACCTTATAGTATGCTATACAGAAACACTACTATACACCATGCCATTTAGAATACAGAACAAATTGTAATATACTCTTACTGTACAGATATAAAAACAAACTAAAACCGACAATTACTTGAATGAATCTCAGAAACATAATGTTGAATGAGAAAATCCATAAACAAAAGAATACAGACTGAATAAATTGCTTGATAATAAATTGCTGTTCAGAAAACAGAAAAAATTAAACTACAATATTCAGGGATATGTGCTTAGGTGGTAAGAAGTAAGAAAAGCAAGACAGTTATCATAACAATTCTAATACTGAACATTCTAGGGTAACTGAAAGGCAAAGAAATGGAGAGAAGCTTTGGGGTTACTAATAATACTCTATGTCTTTACCTAGGTGGTGCCTATACAAGTGTTCTGCTTTGTAATAAATCACTGAGCTTTATGTTTCTGCTTTGTGCACTTTTCTATGTGTATTATAGTTCATAATTTTAAAAGGATAAAATATGGGTCAAATTCATTTCAAGGTTAATAATTATGCTGAGAATAATATATAGATATAAACTAAATTCTTCAAAGGTTTAAATTATAGTAATTCTCTGTATAACAACGTTGTGGCCAACTATGGACCACATATACAACAGTGGTCCCATAAAAATATAATGAAAGCTGAAAAGTTCCTATCATCTAGTGACATGGCAATGATTGTCATCAAGATGTGTAGGCCTAGGCTAATGTGGATGTTTGTGTCTAAGTTTTTAACAAAAATGTTTAAGAAGTTAAAAAAAAAAGCTTTTGATAGAAAAAAGCTTATAAAGATATAAAGAAAATACTTTTGTATAGCTGCACATTGTGTTTGTTTAAGCCAAGTGTTATTACAAAAGTGTCGAAAACTTGTAAAATAGTCAAGTTTATAAAGTTAAAAAGTTACAGAAACCTAAGATTGATTTACTACTGAAGAAACACAAATATGTTCAATAAATTTAATATATCCTAAGTGTACAGTGTTTATAAAATCCACAGCAGTATACATACAGTAATGTCCTGGTCTTCACATTCACTCACTACTCACTCACTGAGTCACCCAAAGCAACTTATAACCCTGAAAGCTCCATTCATGGTAAATGCCCTACACAGGTATGATATGGTTTGGCTGTGCCCCCATCCAAATCTCATTTTCAATTGTAGCTCCCATGATACTCCTGTGTTGTGGGAGAGAACTGGTGGGAGATAATTGAAACATAGGGGCAGTTTCCCCCATACTGTACTTCTAGTAGTGAATAAGTCCCAAGAGATCTGAAGGTTTTATAAGGGGTTTCCCCTTTTGCTTGGCTCTTATTCTCTCTTGCCTGCCACCATGTAAGACACGTCTTTCTCCTTCCATCATGATTGTGAGGCCTCCCCAGCTACATGGAACTGTGAATCCATTAAAGCTCTTTTTTTTTCTTTTATAAATTACCCAATCTCAGGTATGTCTTTATCAGCAGCATGAAATAAACTAATATAGTAGATTGGTACCAGGAGTGGGGTGCTGCTGTAAAGATACCCAAAAATGTGGAAGCAACTTTGGATCTGGGTAACAGGCAGAGGTTGGACCAGTTTGGAGGGCTCAGAAGAAGACAGGAAGAGGTGGCAAAGTTAGAAACTTCCTAGAAACTTGTTGAATGGCTTTGACCAAAATGCTGATAATGACATAGACAATGAAATCCAGGCTGAAGTAGTCTCAGATGCAGATGAGAACTTGTTGGGAACTAGAATAAAAGTGACTCTTGCTATGTTTTAGCACAGACACTGGTGGCATTTTGCCCCTGCTTTAGAGATTTGTGAAACTTTGAACTTGAGGGAGATGATTTAGGTTATCTGGCAGAAGAAATTCCTAAGCAGCAAAGCTTTCAAGAGGTGACCTGAGTGTTGTTAAAAGCATTCCATTTCAAAGACAAACAGAACATAAAAGTTGGAAAAAAGTGCAGACTGACAATTCAAAAGGAAAAAAATACATTTTCTGAGGAGAAATTCAAGCCAGCTGCAGAAATTTGCATAAGTGAAAAGGAGCCAAATGTTAATCATCAAGACAATGGGGGGGATTTCCACCATGATGGCCAAATAGGCCCAGCTCTGATGCGCAGTTCCCAGCGAGAGAGACACAGAAGGTGGGTGATCTCTGCATTTCCAACTGAGGTACCAGGTTCATCTCACTGAGACTGGTTAGACAGTGGGTACAGCCCAAGGAGTACAAGTCAAAGCAGGGTGGGGCATTGCCTCACCTGGGAAGCACAAGTGGCCACAGAACTCCCTCTTCTAACCAAGGGAAAACATTAGGGACTTTTCCTGACACTCTGGCTCAGATACTGTGATTTTCCCAGGGTCTTCACAACCCATAGACCAGGAGATTCCCTCTGGTGCCTACACCACCAGTGCTCCAGGTTTCTAGCACAAAACTGGGTGGCTGTTTTAGCTGCAGCAGTTTTTTGTTTTTTGTTTCTCATACCCCAGTGGCACCTGAAAGGCCAGCAAGACAAAACTGCTTATTCCCCTGAAAAAGGGGTGTGAAGCCAGCGGGGAATACCCCTAAGTGACCTGACTCAGCGGGTGCCACTCCCATGAAGACCAGCAAGCTTAGATCCACTGGCTTGAAATTCTTGCAGCTAGCATAGCTTGAATGTCCCACGTCAAGCTTGGTGGGGGGATGTCCACTCAGAGAACCCATCCAAAGGTCACCAACTTCAAAGACCAAAGGTAGATAAATCCACAAAGAGGGGAGGAAACCAGCACAAAAAGACTGAAATCTCCAGAAACCAAAACACCTCTTCTCCTCTCAACTCCACACAAGCAAGGGAACAAAATTGGATGAAGAATGAGTTTGACAAATTGACAGAAGCAGGCTTCAGAAGGTGGTAATAACAAACTTCCTTGAGCTAAAGGAGCATGTTCTAACCAAATGTAAGAAAGCTAAGAACATTAAGAAAAGGTTAGATGAAATGCTAGCTAGAATAACAAGCACAGAGAAGAACACAAACGACTTGATGGAGCTGAAAAACACAGCACAAGAACTTTGTGAAGCATACACAAGTTTCAATAGCTAAATCAATCAATTGGAAGAAAGGATATCAGAGATTGAAGATCAACTTAATGAAATAAAGTGTGAAGGCAAGATTAGAGAAAAAAGAGTAAAAAGAAATGAACAAAGCCTCCAAGAAATATGGGATTATGTGAAAAGACAAAATCTATATTTGATGGGTATATCTGAATGTGATGGGGAGAATGAAACCCAGTTGGAAAACAT